CTTTTCTTTGTTCTGTTTAAATAAAATGAGTAAACGCCTCGTAATGTTAACGATCAAATCCTAGGAAATATGTCCTTCAACATGTCATATGTCATTGGATCTAATGCAATCATACACATAAATAAACAAAAATTTCCTGTTTCTCCATCCCTTTAAAAAGCTAAGCGCATACTAACATACTAACACCCAATCATCGCTAAAATCACATTTTCAGTCAAGGGTCAGTGAATCGAAGATGAACGATACTTGTACAAGCAAAGAAAATTGGCGGTAAGGATACAGCTGCTATCTATGTACAATTAGCTAGTGTACTTTATGATTATGCAAATATACCTCAAAAATGGAAAATAGCTTGCTCTTCGAAACACGTATAAAACATACGTTTCGATTTCGATCGATACTGGTCAAATAAATAAATAAACATATGTTTTAACGTGGATTCCTAACCAGTTATTCGACGGGTACTTCGAGTGCCCGAAAATATGTTTTCGATGGGCTTTTGCCGAGGGCTCGAACCCTCGGAAAATGGCACTTCGGACCCTCGATATAAGGTTTCGGGGGGTACCGATTTCGAGGCGTCAGACTGGGATATTTAGGACTTCCGGGCCCTCGTCGCACCTCCGAGGGAGCGAGGGCTTGGAAGTCCCGAACATTGCACCTTCGGGCGACGAGGGCTCGGAAATCTCACACATCTCTATTCGACGGCTTGAAATTTTTCTTGAGGACCTGCTACCTATCTGAAATCCGAGGACTCGAAATCGAGGATTCGAAGTGCCATTTTCCGACGGTTCGAGCCCTCGGCAAGGACCTATTCTGGGTACCCGCCGCATTCCGCGAACGACTTTCTTCATCTGCATGGGTTATCGTTAATATATTGTCTTAGTAAATGATAAGCATAGATGTATTGTTCAGCCATTTGTAGAGAACTCATACGTTGTTGTGTAAAATTCTTGTAGGGGTTTTTTCGATATCACACAGGCGTTTTTCTTCATCATAGATTTTTATACAATATTCCATTAATGCATAGGTACCTATACTTAACAGAAAGAGAGACATACTTTTCAAGCTAGAATAGACAGATTCGATCATACCTGCTCTACCAACACCAGAATTACAATGAATTACTTTTGGTACACTTGAATCATTTGGATATTTTTGAACTTCATTAATAAAATTAATCATTGAATCAATATCGTCTGGAACATCACAATCTCTCCATTTTAAATAATGACAATGATAAACAGTATACGGTACCTGAAACACTTTTAATCACATCTGCACGTTCATTTCATAACTACACTAGTTAAAAAGGTTTGTTTTAGCATTTTCAAACAGAAAAGAAAATTTTCATTCTTTCCAATGCCAGAATTTGGTAGCAAAGCCAAAAAGATTGACTCTAGCAGATTCTGTCTACAAAAACTCAATATTATTTTCAAACGATCAAAATGCAGTCTTTCCGACATAATTATTAAACAACACTGATACCATGTTTATCTTTTTCTTCCTCAGTGGTGTCTGTCCTGCTGACACTGAACCCTAAAATTCGAAGAGAATCCTCTGCCTCGCGCACCTGTCTGTAGCAGTTATCTCAGAAATAATTACTTACATTTGGATTGGATGTTTTTGTTAATTCTAATTGTATAATTCTAAAGTATTCATTTTTTCTGTGTGAATCTGAACAAATTTAATATGATATAAACCGTATGTTCGTTCATCCTGTGCATTCAATGGCCAATACTGAACAGGCGGTTGACCTGGTTCTTTGGCTGGTTTTACCATAACAATAATTCGTACATTAAACTGATAAATCATACGCCAAAAATCGGAATGAGTATCACCATAGATAAGATATGTGGGCATTGGAGCTAGAAAGAAGAGAAGAAACCGAAAACCTAAACATATTAGCTTCAGACTACTTCAGACATGCATAAAAATATATATACAGGGTAGAAAAGTGGGTACTATCTCTTACGGACTGGCACATTCCAGCACAGCAGGATGATCAAAATCATTATCCATAGGCATGCAACAGCTACCGTTGAACAGCTGAAAACTGATGTAACTATTTAATGGTACCTCCTCCACTTCCTTAACGAGCGGTCACTGGGTTTTCTCGTTAAGCGAAGGTTCTGAAGAAATCACCTTCACCAGATCAAAACTGGAAAAAGCGATGATGTTTACCAAAGTTAGATTTTTTGATTTGAGTTTTTCGTCCGAACATTCACATTATTTTTGTCTTATCCAACGTTGAAAACTGAATTAAAAACTAATATCAGATGCATTTCAGAGGTATACCTCTGAAATGCATCCGATATTAGTTTTTAATTCAGTTTTCAACGTTGGATAAGAAAAAAATAATGTGAATGTTCGGACGAAAAACTCAAATCAAAAAATCTAACTTTGGTAAACATTATCGCTTTTTCCAGTGTTGAGATAGTTCGAGTTTTCTCGATTTTTCGGCATGAAAAAACGTTTCAAAAAACTGAAAACTACACATGCGTGGTCAGCTCGAAAAACTCTATCGAATGGTATATCATAAGTCCAGAAAAAAATACTGTTTCATTTTGCATTAGGTGCATCTTACAAAGATCGGAGAAAAAACAAAATGACCACACGTTTTCCTTTCGGACATAGCCATTTACTGATCAGTTATTAGTTTTGTCACTTACAGTTATATCAGTTAAGGGCACCCCCCCCCCTTTCCCTCGACCAAAAAAACTACTTAGGTAGAAGTTGCGTTTGACGGATTCCTATGTAGTCCAGACTGTGCCCTTCAATTTGAGATCTAAGCGAATTCAAACAGATGTTAGGTCAAGAAGTTAATCTTCTACGAAAGGACCCGAAAACAGCTTCTTTCAGCTAAAACTTCGAAATTTGCGAAATCGGAACGAAAAACTTTTATCCATGATACAGCAGATTCTTCTGAATCGAACAAGACAAACCGCAGTCTCAGGCGATATCGGGAATCAAAGCCAGAGTCATTTTAATTAGATGTACGGTTTGGCGCCAATACGTACATCGCTTTTCTCAGAAGCGCCTTTTATAATGAAAAATCGAAGTCTTCTCCCTTTTTCTCCCAGACGTTTCGATCGATTGAGCCTTAATTTTTTTTTTCTGACAACTAGAACCAAATTAGGGGGCGGAGGGGCTATTTTTTTTCTTTGAAAAATATTGTTCTGGTGATTTTTGACAGACTTTACAAAACTTACCTAAGCAGAAAAACACGTTTTTTTGGCAGAGCTCCAGTATTTTGGTTCTCCTCAGCGAAGGAAACAATGTTTTTTGAAAAAAAAATTCATTCATGAAAAATGAATTTTGGATATTTGCGGGGGGAAAACTTCAGGTCATTTTTGGCCCTTCGCCCGCTATTTCTTATGGAAGGAAGCATCCGGGAATTCTCAGTCTATCGCAACTTTTGCTCTGTTAGTCGAGATCTATCTACCCTGAAAGTTTCGAAATTTTTGGTCAAGCCGTTCTTGAGAAACCCGTGAAAGTGAAAATGCCCTTAACCGTAACTGTTGCTTACCTAATTGTCCGCTTTAAATTACACGTGACTATTTGTTGAGTAATTTCAGAAGGACAGAAAACAGAGAGTGCAATTTTTAGCAAAACTGGAAAAAGGTAATGTTCTGCTATAATTCGGAAGAAAATCAAATTGAGACAGCATCTATAGGCGATATGTTTAACTGATGTTATAAAAAAAGATGCCAATTTTAGATTTGAATGTATTTCTTACGCGTTATGCCTTTTCAAAAACATTTCTCTGTGATCTGAAATTTCAGAAATACATATAAACATATGGTTAACCTGCTGAAGTTCGGAATAACGTAAAAGGGTTTTTCTATCCTCATTTTTTATCTCTGAAAAAACAGTGAAGACATTTTTTACGTACCTTGTATTATTATACAATCGACTGATGCTTTAATATTCTTATTATGATACATGTTTCCAGTTGCATAAACAAAATCAGCATTGATGTAATCACTTTGTTCACCACCTAGTTCATTATCTGCTTGTAGTTTAACTCTCGAAAATTTACTTGGTGGATATAAACCGGCATTACGAGTTTTTTTATGATGACTTCTAAATATGTAGAGAAAAAGAAAAAAAAATACATGGATATAAGCTTTACTCTTTCAGAATACGAGCAGAAAAGTATTTCATTATAGGACTCCAAACTAAAACTAACTAAACTACACAAAAGCAATTTTGTACGACTAGAGATTCTAGCACATGAACTTGGCTTTGCAGTAAATTGCAAAACCAAATCCACTGTTCTATATCTATATTCTGTACAACAATCGAAGTTGTGCAATACTCTCGATGTTATCAGTAGTAATTTTCTCTCTTGGTATGTTTTTTGTGTTCTGTTTTCCATAATACGTTAGTCAACGGTTAATCATACACTACTAATTCTTACGTCATTTGAGCTTCCGGTGCTGCTTCAGTTGTTGCATCTTTTGTATCATTAATTTTGCAATATTCTGTTTTGATTAAATCAACCGATTTTGTCATAAATAGTTTCATTGCTTCAACAGGATTATTTTGTACTGCTGCTGTTGTTCGTGTAGTTGACGATCGTCCTGGGGCATTGGACATGTTGTAGAAATACAGATCTCAGCTAAAAGCAACAAAAAAAATGTATTTCAGATTCCTATTACTGCGAGGGCTGCCTTTTGATGTTTTCGAGCGGAACGAAGTCATTATCAATGTTTATTTTCGTCACAGACACAGTCTACAGTCTGTAAGCGTGTCCACTGCAGAATCAGTTCTTAGCTCTACTTCGCTTAACACCGCATCAGTATCTGTTTTTAATAAATGTCTCGGTTCTCTCAGATTATTAAAGGAAGAGAAGATTCCTTATGTGATTTGAATTTAAATGCATGTTATGATGCTACAACACAACTAAAATCTAATTTTTTCTTTTCTATTATGTCAAAATGAGAAGAATAACGTTTACATAATGATTAAGAAGAAACCTTACACTTATGAATAATATAGAAGTAAAAGAAAGGAGAAAAAGAACGCGAGAGAATATGAAGCAGAGGAAAGGAAAAAAATGATACTGCTCGTAAGCTGCGAAGCAGTGCCATCTTCATAGCAGCATGTCGCGATAATCAAAATAAAACAAACGCATATAAATTATCTCTCTTCTTCACATTGGTGCTACTGTTGTTATGCTATTAAGAAGTACATTTAATGAGAACGCTGACATCCTCAAAACACACTTATATATAAATTAACAGAAAATACAGAAAACAATAATACTCATGCCCATAAAAGGCAGTCGAATGGCGTGCACGAAAAAAAGGAAAGGAAAGGAAAACGAAAACTACGCTCATAAAAGGCAATGGGATGACCTATGCAGAACGAAATAGCTCTAGTGAGATACTTACTCGAATCTTACTTAGATCTTAGAACGATCTTAGTAAGATTTCGCTTACGTTTGTCTAAGATCTTACACAAATTTTACTAGGATCGTGAGACCCGAAAATTTTAAGATTTGATAAGATTTTGCTAAGATCTTAGCAAGATCTTACTAAGATTATACTGTCTAAAGATTTTTCAACATTGGGTAGAATCTGTTAGGTTTTAATGATAAGAATGACGACATTTTCTTAACAATATTCATTCAAGATTCGCTGAGAATTTTTAAACTTTTAATCCGCATTATCCAAAGTAGCAGTTGAACAGTGTTGAAGAATGAAGAGAAATTTTATATTTTCGGATGTCCAACCATGGACCTTGACCTGCATGTACACTCTAAAAAGTTGTTGAACACTTTCGAGAGATCAAGTGCTAGCAGAATCAGTAAGAGAAATAATCGTAAAATCACTCATATTTTCGGTGTTACTTATATAGATGAATGAGAGAAAAACAAAAGGGTGAATGAAAGTAGAGTCATTAAATCTTATTAACTCTCTGGCGCCTTTTGACGCCAAGCAGTTTACAACCTTTAGCGTCGGCGCCTTTTGACGCTTTGCGTAACTATATAACAGTTGTATATTGTAAAGATTATTTCTAATCTTTTTTATTTGTTCTTTTGTCTTTCCACTACATGCCCTGTACATATACACATCGTAGTGAGTTTATTTTTGGCTTCTCTCTCATTCTTTGACTATCTCTCTTTGTTTAGTAGTTATTGTTAATCAGTAGGTTGGATGGCGATATTGACGGAGGATGTGCTCCCCTCGTGCGTGTTTGTGGATGTATACTCCAGTTGGTTTTTCAAATTTTTATTAACAAAAGAACAGAGGAGAGAAGACTAGTATTAGAATGTCAAAATCACATTCTAATACTAGTCTTCGTCTCCGATGTGTATATGTACAAGGCATGTAGTGGAAAGACAAAAGAAAATGTAAAAACGTAAAAGATGAAGGTTATTTTGAAGTAAAATGAGTATTAATGACGTTTTTACTTATATTTATCATAAAAAAATGTTTCTTATCTTCGCAGCATTTCCAAGGTTATTTAGATAATTGGCATACTATTAAGAACGCTTAGAAATGGTGCAAAGACACAGTCTGGCGGTGCAGGGTACACCATTACAGAATAAATGGATATAGATGAGGTTGAGAAAAATTTTCTTCGAAGAGATGATGTGGAAAGTGTTAAAGAAAAGCCTTTACTCTCTTTTTCACACAAAATTTTTCTACTTTTGTACTGCTGTTTAGTAGTTCTGCGCTGTTTTCTCGATGGATTCAGTGCGTTGCATCATAATAGAAATGCCATTAATTTTAGATGAATAGCAGATGAGAAAATTGCAGATAAATAATACAATTACGAAAACAGAAGCACCGAACGCATCTGCTGTTATTTTAGTAAAAGGTGTGTGTTTTATGTCTCCCGTATTATAACTAATTCACTCACATCTGATGAATGCAAATTATTTGTTTCTGATGAACAATAATATTAAATTCATTAATCTGTCGTCATAATTCTCATCGTAAACAGTTTTTAACTGACTTTAAACGGCTAAATGCCCTTTCAGTTGATGCAATTGTAACGGTACGAGATAATATAAATACATAAACGCTGTATAAATGTAAATATAAACTTTGTTATTATTCTTGTTAAATAAATGCATAATATCGTTCATTATCGAACATGCTTTTGGATCTTAGCTGAATATCGGTCTATAATAAACCACTATTGACATATGTTCCTACAATAGTTTTAATTTTGTCAGCTTATTCTGCTTGAAAATCATCTATGACAGATGTGGAGAATTACCTATTTTATATTAGGTATATTCCAACTGACGGTTACAAATATCATTTTCCGTCTTTGAATAAATTCATTGATAAACCAGTGTTAAAACTTTTATTGACTCCAACAATATACCGCCTAGTGATGCAAACGAACAATTGACGTCAGTATTTTCTCCAGAATTGTGAAAGTTGGATGTGAGAGTTGGAGACGATGCTGAGCCATCATTATCGAACAAGCGGACCCGTTCAGCTTGGCAGTTGTTTCCGATCTACCTTTTCCGAGGACCCTTCATAAATTGAATGCTATTTAACGAAGATATATCGCAGAGAGCTCGGAGACGTCTCATTCTATTCAGAAATGTTTCTTCTACCAGATTCAACTATTTTCAAGAAACGTATTGACTGAATCGGACTCGGTTTTTTGAGATGTTTAAGGCTTTTGGTTTTCCAGAGATCCTGGTTTCGAAAGCTACGATGAAAGTTTGTAAGCGCTAGATTAGATTCGAAATTAATTCAGCTATTCAAATCCTTTTTCAGATTTGTTCTAGCTATCATGATCAAGGAGAAAAATTATAAATAAACGGTGGACGCTCAATTTTGGCCGCTACTGTATGAGGTAGAAGCAATTGACATTATCTTTAGCAGTAATTAGTATTTCCGATGCTGACATCGGAAAACATTTTCTTTGAACGATATGGCAGAAGTACCTTTTTGAGTTGGCTTTCATATAAAATCCATGATATTTTTTTGAAGAGTAAGGCAACATTGCTTTGAGCACTGTTATTTATATACATTTCGAAACAATGAAATTTGAATTGTACAGCACTGAGCCTTTTATGAGACCCTTTTTTTAAACCAGGTAAAGTACTAATTACCGCTTAAGATAATCTCGATTGCTTCTATCTCATATTTAATATGATTCATATTTGGAATATAAAAATGAGAGATAATGTATCTCTTTTGAGATACTCAATTTCTTGCCAAAATATTTGTTTCTCAAAAGAAACCCTTTTTAAATTGATTAAAAGAGATACGTTGTAAAATATGGATTTGCATCTCTTATGAGAATATATATTGTATCTCTTCCGGCACCAATATTTAAGAAACGATTCTTATTAGAATGAAATGTATTCTTAGTTTTCAAGTAAATATTTAAAAGAAGATCCAGGACCATTCAAAAATGTCAATGATGTTTGTTTTCGACCATCATACTCACTTGAAACTTGTGAAATAAGTAAATGTGGTGAATGAGAGTTTGCTTAAGGCGGGTCTCCTCATCCGATTTTTTCCACCAGTTTGTAGTGGACACTTCGGAGTATATGTCTCAACAAAGCTTTCAATTCTCGAATTCGCGGTTTTTGATTAAAAAAATGTCAAAGTGTTTTTTTCGGTTTTCTTTTCTATTTTTAAAATTTCAATAAAAACTTCAGTTTTTGATATGAAGAGTTGATTCTAGCATAGTTCGATAGAGACCATTAATCTATATAAGGAGAAGTACTTTTTATCGTTCCCGAATGAAGCTTGAAGCAACAAGTTTAACGTTCAGTTTTCCGAGGAACTTTTAGAGCTAAAAATATTTTTTACATCATCTTACGGCTAGTTTCGTTCGAAGCAAGCATGTTGAAGCAAACTCTGGATACAAAGGTTGTTCAAGGTCAAATTCTGCAGTCCCTAACGAGAGGTTTTTGTACAATTGACCTTTTCTGACTTTAAATTAATTTTTGGGGTTTTTAAAGTTTTAAAATTTCTTATTTTTTAATTTAAAAACCAAAAAAGGACAATTTTAAAAAAACTTCTCGTTAGGGACTGCAGAATTCGATTCTGAACAACTTTTGTATCCAGAGTTTGCTTCAACATGCTTGCTTCTAACGAAACTAGCCGTAAGGTGAGGTGAAAAAATCTTTGCTGAGCCCAAAACCAGCGATATCTTCAAGTTTTGAATTTTTTCTTCGAGCCTTCCCAGTTTGTAGGGAATACTTCGAAGTATATGTCCTGCAGTTTTTTCGGCTTACTGACATTATCTGACTGAGAAAAAATTAATTACTTAAAAATATGTTGTTAAAGTTTTGAGCACGGAGCTATTATTACAAAGTTTCAGCAGCCAAAAATGAATTCCAATACCTTTAAAATAGTCTGTCTTGTAGCCCGTAAAATTCTGTATCAGATGAGGTATTTCTTGAATTCTTGTTGAATCGTTATTTTACAAATGGGACTTTAAGCTAGTAGAGTAGGCCAATTTAACGTTAATTAGTACTCATTAGCTAATAATAGGAAGGAAAGAACAAAATTTTTTACATCTTTTCTCGTAGTAAATATTCTCTACACATTTCTCTACCGAAAAAACTGCAGGACATATACTTCGAAGTATTTTCTACAGACTGGGAACGT